GTTTCGGAAAAGATAAATCAGCATATGTTGAAAACAAGGAACAACTATTAAATGTTGACCCTTCTAAGACCGATTATTTACTGGGTAAGCAGATACGTTTAATATTTCTTGTTTATTATATTATAATATATTTATATGAATATACAATGTATAAAATATTTCATGCGTGGTTAATCCAAAACAAATGGAAAAAAGTATTACATAATATTTTATCAAGTAATTTGTCTTAACAATTTAAATTTTATTTTTTTCGTCCTTTGATGTCTTTCCCATTTTTTTTAGATGTGGGGAGAAGTTGATCATTTTTTTAAGTCCATCAAGTAAAATAAATAATCAATTTGGTAAAGAAATGTGTATTACACGGCTTTTTGAAGCCTCTTAAAGTTTATAAAAAGTGTTAATATTTCTTTATTCCGGTTAGGGTATTTCAAACAGTTTAGTTTTACATCATAAAAACTAATCAGACATTTTTAAATTCCACATAAACTACAACAGAGATAAGATTTTATGTTAATATTTGAATAATTCGAATTTCTTACGTTTTAGGCCTTTTTGAGAGTATGCATATGAAATATCATTTGAAAGCAGACGCTAGTAAACAACCCACTTTGGAGGAAATGACTAAAAAAGCCATAGAAATTTTGCAGAAAGAAGAAAATGGATTTTTCCTGTTCGTCGAGGGTGGTCTCATTGATGCTGGCCATCACCAAACTACTGCCAGGTTAGCGCTGGACGAGACAGTTGAGTTGTCTAAAGCCGTCCAACAAGCTGTTGATATGACCAGCGAAGACGACACACTGATCGTCGTCACGTCTGATCACTCACATACCATGACAATGGCAGGTTACCCGGTCAGGGGTAACGACATCTTAGACCTTTCGGGGTCTCTTGGGAGCGACAAATTGCCGTACACTACACTCAGCTACGCCAATGGTCCGGAAAATCTGCAGCCTGATGTGAATTGCGCCCGTCAGGATTTGTCCAAAGTCGACAAAAGTAATTTTTTTTAAACTGTTAACGCCATATTGGTTATTCTGAACGCTTAAAGGCGTATCGTAAATCGTCATCGCCTCGATCGTTATAATACCATGTGATATTATCGTAAGCCCACGACGGTGAATGACAATGAGTCTAAATATTTATTTGTATTACTAAAATATTTTGTCATCGGCTTGTACTCAAAAATTGCATGACGACATTGGAWCATATCATATATGCATTTGTCGTCGTCTGTGACGCACATACATTACATTGATAGATAACGCATTAGAAMATTTTCAAAATCTATTTTGCAAAGCTAATTTCGTGATTTTTACAGCCAAAATAAACTATACAATAGAATTTTACTTTTACTTTTGAAAGTAAATTCACTGTACAACAAATGGCTAGATCATAGATATGACTACACGCATGTAGTAACGGTAGGGCAATATTTTTCGATGATAAAAATTTTATTTTTAGAAAAAATATTCGATTAAGCTATATGGATTATACATACTAGGTATAGTTATTACTATAAATGTAAGTACAGTTTTTCATAAGATTTAATTTATTTCTTAAATTTTTGATAWTGGATTCGTTGTTATTAAATGAAAAATATACAAAAGTATTAAAAATATAAAAACATGCTTGAAATCTTTTAAAACCATGCTCATAAAACTAAGCACAAATCATCAGTCAATTATAGAACGATTTTCAATCRTATTTCGTAGAAGTACTTTTAAATATATTGAGTATTTAATTCTAAAAATAATTTTTTCAGTAAAATTTGAGTTTATTATGAAAAAATCGTTCGAACATTGTATAAAATAAATTGTGTATAAGTCTAAATGAAAAATTTTAAGTTACGAGTTAGCTTAATTAGGTACCATACTATTATATCTATATTMCACTTAATAAATGTACTGCGTCACTGCGAGACGTATAATAATCTTAGATTATTGATATAATTTATCACATACCTACTAGTATTGAAGCGATGAATGTATTGGTTTTCAAAAATGTGTTTCATGGCTCAACTTTTGAGTACAAGTTCAGTGAAATCTTTAAATTTTAAGGAGAATATTGTAGAAAATTAAGTCTAATTTGTACTTTTAGTTGGAAGTCAAATGCCCAGGAATTTTCAAAATAATTTATCGTAAAATTCTAAAATTCTAATAATTTAAAACTTTTTTTTTTTCATTTATTTAATAATTTAATGTTTCAGCATATTAATCATGCTTTTACAAGTTTAGATTAGGGTTTACAAATAGAATATGGAATGGGGATTGTAGATAATTTTAATGAGGTATTTAAAACTTTAATTACTTAAGTCACTCAATGGTTTTAAAGAAATTCATACGACATATTATTTTAAACAATATATTATTTTAAAATAGTTTATTTCATATTTACGTTTCCCAAAGTTATATTCGTATATTTACAATTTAATATGATAATAAGARCAATATATCCTTTTTGCATGAAAAAAAAGTAGTTTGAAAAGTGTTTTCACATTTCAATTTTTCAATGGACAGTTGTATGATAAACGTCAAACATGTATCTCGTATAGTAAGTAGTAAATACAGTAATAAAAAGATAAAATAAATGATTAACAACTATATTTTTAAGTGATATTATTATTTATTACGATATCAGAACCTATAATAATACCTTGTAGTACCGCTTTAATCTTTTCAGCGGAAACAACGTTTATCGTTGGATTATAGTATTATAAGACATAAGTATCAGATCTGAAATTGAAAGTAATATTATTTTATGGTTTCAGAGCGGATTAAGAGAGTTTCATCATTTGATTTAATTTAAAATATCAAGTATCATTCAAATTTTAAAATTTATTTTTCGCCMCTGTGAGATAATTTATACAGGGTGATTTATTTATTCAACTAAATAATTCTATAAGATATTGTGGAAATTTAAAAATTCTGTTCAGTTYGCCATATCATTTTTCTTCATATTTTTGGAAACTTATAGTTTGAACGATTATTAATTGTATTTAAATAATTAATAMATTTCAAGAAATGAATATAGCTCGTTTTATATAATATCTGAATTCACTATTTTATCATTTTTTTGATGTTTATTTTCTTAAATCGGAGACTGAGTCTTAGAGAAAATGATTCGACTAATAACCATAGAAAGTTATTTGAGTTGATACATCGCAAAGCTATTTCACTTATGTCTGGGTTCTTTTGAAGCGTAAATTTAAACGGATATATTCAAAAACGACTTTATTATTGTTCATATAGGTACGCTGTTCACTCATTTGTATGTTAATAAAAAGTTGTTTAGGTATTTTGTTCAATGTGTATACTGCATATTATAATATGTTTCTCTCTTGCATATGTTATAATATAACTTTCAATTCATAAGAAAGTTTTCCACGCAAGTTTGTGAATTTTCAACTGGTCTTACTGTAATGTATGATTTTGTATTTATTTATGGAATAATATATTTAATCTCGGGTTATTGTAATGATTTTAAATTTCAAAAAGTTTGTTAGTAGTATTAATTGAAAATAATAAAACAATATAACTTGTTTTTAAGATTAATATACAATTATAAACAGATGTGAACGTTTATATACGCATATATACCGGGGAATCCATTCAAAGTGGATCAACCATAATAATATCAACAACTATTACGATTTTGAAACTATTTTTTTTGCATAATTTAAAAGCGTTTAAAGCAAACATTTTCTCAGAAAAATAAGTATTTACAATTTTTTTTTTTTTGTTATTATTATTTGATTATTTACTTTATTTAATGACCACATGCATTTTAATTTAGAATATTTAATTGATTATATTATGTATTTAAAGTTTAAAAGAGCGGAAAAGAATGGAACGGAATATGATTACGTCATTAAGTGTTAGGCCATTATTCCCTTCATCTAAACTTTAAATTCTCATAACCAATACACTATAGATACTTGTCCAAAATTTAATTTTGATACAGGTTTCATACTATCTGCTTAGTAATAAACTCATATTGGCCGTTTTCGCTTAAAATTGTTCATCGTATGCAATAGTTTTTCATTGAATTGAAATTTAACGCTAATATTAAATTGATGATTTACTCAACGTCGAGGTACACTCGAAACCTACTGTACATCAGAGCGGTTACCTACTTCTCTCCCTTTTTAATATTTTATACTAAACAATATAATATTATCATTTATATTGATTTAAAAATATGACCTATAGTATATTTAAACTCGTTGAAATTATCAATATAATTTCGGTCCGTATTAGACTAAAAACAATATTGTTCAATAATCTTTTTTTTTTTTTATCTAAGTTCTKTCTTTCGAAAACCGCAATATTGTGAAATAATGTTATAAATTGTTCAACCACASTATCACTCCGATAATATGAACGTGGTTATCAATGTTTCAATGTTATATAATTAATTCTAAAATATATTACACTACAGTTTTAATTACCTAGTTTCAAAGCAATATTCGAATATAACATTGCACGGCCAATATTGCGACAATGATATTCAATATTACCTATCCTATATGATCAACGACGACTGACGAGTAACAATAAAGTAAAAACTAGTCATATTTCCGAAAT